CTCGATGCGTTTCTCTAACATTGCAGGCACTTGCTCCGCCCATTGCTGAGAGGCTTGGGTGCGTGCCTGTTGATAAATGCGTTGCAGCTCACGCTGCACCTCTTGCTGCTGCGTGGACGTAATCCCATTGACAAGCGCATCGGCTGCAGCCTTGGAGGGCAGGAGTATTGTTTGCTGAGCATCCTTGACCACACACTTAAAGCTGCGCTCTGTAACAAACTCCAATAGACGTCGCATGGACGCATTCTGTGAGTGTAAAAAGGCGTCCACCAATTTGCGTTGCTTTTGCTCCGATGTCATAGTTTCCACAGTCTGCAAAGGATCTGGAGTCTCCTCTGGTTTACTATGAGCAGACTGCAACTTCTTGCTTCCACTCAGCTGTTCCAGTCGAGTGGTTATATAACGAAAGCGTCCATTTCGCTGAACTTGTCGCTGCGAGGGAGTAATGGAGACACAAAACTCATGAAGAAAGGGGCAAGCCACTGGGAGGAGCTGCTCGAGCAGTGCTGCTGCCTGTCCCTTATACGAAATGCTCAGACTATGCAGACAATCGGCGACCAATGCTGCACTTGCTCCACTTAAGGATTTGGCGCTCCTTTGACTATAGTAGCCACTGCTGAGCGCTGGTTGAGATTCCAATAGCCAACCGAGGCAGATACGTATAATAAAGAACTGCGGATTTTGATTAGCCACCACGCCTTCATACAGCGCATAGAGCAATTCCAGCGTAGCCGCCGCAGCAGGTAGCTGCAGTGTGACCACATCTAACATGGCTAAATACTGCACCAGCCAGGGCAACGTGATGAGTAGTTTGTCCTGGCGCATGGCTCGCTCAAGATGGGTGCGCATCTCAAATGGGGGCTGGAACTGGCGACGCAGCTGCAGTTGTTGTGGGCAGGCATAGGCAGTGGGCGATCGATTGTAAGGGAAGGCGCAAACATACCCTAGAAATTTAGCCAACATGAGCAACTCTGCAAGAGCCTGTGGTCGTACGATGAACGGAGATTGAACCACCTCGCCATCGTCCTCGTCTTCGGCTTGAAGTGGCAGCAACTCAAAACTGGAATCATTATGACGCAACAATTGGACATAGAGCGCTAGCTGGAGCTGTACCAGAAATGCCAAGGATCCACATTCGCTGATAAAATCACGAAAGAAGGCTTGCGTGCGTGGAAACTGATCCTCAACGCTTGAATTGCTGGTAATTAGACGCTGAGCCAGTCTGTTGAGACGCTGCTGGTCAAGCTTCAGACCCAGTTCCTCGGGTGATTCGTGCGTCTCACCACTGGACATGAGCAGCTGGCTGACAAACAGTTTGGCAAAGTGCGCCATATTTACAGCATGCTCAGACTGCCTGAAGATCTCTCGCACGCATTGACCCAAATCTCTGCCAAAACAGAAGACGCGATTAAGATGTAGTTGCTCCCACTGCTTGAGCGCCTTGTAAAAAAGATCTCGCTGGGTCTTAAATGCACCGAACTCGTGTTGGCTTGGAAAATTATCGCGAGAATCTTTTTCGTGCTGGTAGTAGACATTTTGCTGAGGATTTTGGGTGTCGGGAAATAGTTCCCGCTTGCTCTTTAACTGCTGTTTCTGTTGACAGGCCAGTTCCAGTTGCTCCTGCATCCCTTTAGAGAGCAGAGACAAACGCTCGTGTTGGAGCAGCACACCCAAAGATTTACGATCCAGCTGCAAAAGCAGCCCCTGCTGTTGCTCCAGTAATTGAACGGCAAAGTAAATGCATTCCTTGTAGCCCGTTAATAGGGCGAGAGGTGCATCCAAGTCAGACTTTGTTGGACTCGCATCAGCCTCGATGTTGCGTATATTGAGTAATTGTAGCACAAAGCTTATCTCACTCAATACATTTGGAACTAGATTTAAATCCATGAGTAATGAGTAAATGCTAGCTAGCACTTGAAGCCTTTTGGATTGGCTAACATCCTCCAAGCTGACTGGCTCTAAAGGTCGAATTGCTTGCTCTCTTTCTCGGTCTCTTTCCTGTTCAACTGGCGCTTCACTTTTGATTTCCTGCCTGCGTAGGAGCAATGTTTTCCTTGCCTCCAACTCCAGTTCAGCGCCTTGGCTGCGATCCAATTCACAGCTCTGCGACAGACGCAACAAATTGTTCTCGTTGCTAAACGAGCTGGTGTCGCCAAAGGAGCTGCACGAAGACACATTCTTGCTGATTGTCATGGGAACCACACGTCGTCGTGGTTTTTGAGATTTATTGTGTGCAGAATCTTGGGCGGTATTGGACTGTGGCGTTAGCGGCTTCTTCCTTGCACGTTGTTGGCCATGATTGGGCGTTGTATTGACCAAAAAGTCACCTAGACAAAAGCTGCCACCGGAAACGCTTCCACCTCCTCCACTGCGATTCGTGGATCGTTCGTTGCTATGCGGTGTACTGTTAAATTGACCACCAGTGGAACGACGTCCGTGTGGATTCTGTCGCACAGGCGTGGACACATTGCCAATGCTCAGTTGACTAAGTTGAGATTCATTCAGTTCCTGATCTGTTTGTGTTGGTGGCCTTTGTTGGCGAACAGGCGTTTGACTTTTGGGCGTCTCCGATTCGTTGCTTAAACTGTTACGAAAATGCTGCTCTGTGTGCTGGCGTAGTGCTGCCAAATAATAAATGGCGAAATCTTCTAGACCACTCTGCTCTTGCTGAAAGTAAGCATTGAACTTTTCTGGCAGTTGATGCAATTCGATAGGTTCAAGTTTATTTAGTAGCTGCTTTAAATGCTGCTCCGGCTCCATTTCCAATTCCTGTTCTTCCGCTTGCTCCATTCTCTGCTTTGTTTTTATTTATATGTGTCGCTAGGGTTTTGTATATATTACGTTCAAGCGCTCGTTCTAACAAAACATTTTTCTCTCTTTCCCTCAGGCCCCGTTCCTGCAACGGAAGATGAGAGAAGAGAAATTTTGCTTGTACGCTTTTGTATTTGTCTTGATTTCATTCATTGTGATTATTTTTATTGATTTGTTGGAGACTTTTAATTTTGCCACTTATTTCTTCTTCATTATTTGCTGATTATTATTATATATGTTTTTATTTTGTTTGTTTACACTCACACATACAAAAGTAACGAAACTATTTTTAAAGAACGAACTAAATTTAGATTTACGCCGAAATTTCGCTAGGCTTTACTTGAGCAAATTATATATAAAATTAATTAGAATAGTTAAATAGTATATAGTGTATATTAAATTAGGTAAGATAGAATTAAATTCTGTTTACATGCAATTAAATAGAAACAAATCACAAAGGTAAACTTTTTTAATGATTTATTTTTACTATTATATCATTTCAATAAATAAATGTTAGTAAATAAATATTAATAGGGAAAGCTAGAATATTGTTATAGATTTTATACAAAACCATTAGAAATTATTTTATAGACCCAGTATTTAACATATAGTTCAAATTCTTAATTAATAGAATACGGATAATTTTCTAATAAGAGAATTTGAAGAGAGCTGAAATCAGTAGTTAGAAAAAACATTTTCAATTGGCTCTACTTAAATGACATCATCAGCCATGGGAGTAGTCTTATAGTAGGGTTGGACAAACAAATACACAAATATCAAAATTTAATATTGTCACGCGACTCGTTTACGCCATCGCCCTAATGCACGGCAGGAAATTGAAGGAGAAAATTTACCCTAGGCTCGGATTCGGGGTTTGTATATTGAAAGCAGCCATACAAAAGTCGTATACAGATACACACATACACACACGCTTTTAAGCAAATACAAACAAATTGAAGGCAATTGTAACTGTTTATGGCGTGGTATAATAAACAAAAACAACATTCACCAAGAGAGCGAAAGAGAGAGATAGATGAACTGAGAGGGGGAAAGGTTCGAGACTCCATATCACCGTTGAACATTTTTGTTTGGAATGCGAGAAGAGCAAACGTGCTCTCTTTTTAAATACAAACACAGAGACAGACCTCACACATGAGTGCCGTACAGCAAAGCGGCGGCAACATACATTCATACATACATACATTAATTGAAGTGTCTATCAGAAATAGCTGGATGACGTAATGCGCACAACTTGGAATTATGAGCAATGAATGGATATTTTGAATGTCAAACTAAAAAAAAAATAACCAATTAGCGCTATAAAATTATACATTTTTTAAATGTATATCTCCTCTTTGCTTTTATCTTTTTTACCGTACCGGCAATTTACACACAATATTGCGCAACTTGATCCTATATAAACAAGACGGCCAGAGTGTCAAGGACATTCATTATTACAAACAGGTATTGAGAAAATCAAATAGGAGGCAAACAAAATAATGGGGTTGCCATCTTTTTAAAACAACACCAAAATACATCTCTTTTGCTTGTATCCGTGCCTGCTCTCCATCTTTCTATCTCTCTCGCTTTCTCTCAACTGAAGTTGCGGCACAACCCGATGACGTATACACAACACACACACACATATATATGAACGTGCTTCAAAAAATGTTCATATGCAGCATAGATACAGAATTTTACACTCATTACACACTTTCCAAATGGAAGTAATGTATGAAAATCACTTTCAGTAATCTTTTAACAAATTAATAGTGGCATTGTGCACATTTTGAAAGCATAATTAGATTTTCTCGGTATAAAAACGAGGGTGTGGCGTTGACCCGAAAAATTTTCACTACACACACACACGCAAGCCGATTTTCAAATGCAATTTAAAGCTATGTGGTCGATAATTGTGCAAATAAAACTATGTGTAACTTACACTTTGGACCTTGCTCAACCGCTTTACAAAGAAATTTGTTGGTTTAACTATTGATTTTCAACTTTTTTCTTAATTTTTTACGCAGCGCTTTAAATTTCACACGAACTGCACGGGAATACTTTACTGAATGTGGTGTACTAGAGGTGGGGTCGAAATCACTGACGATGGTAGTCAAACTAGAGTGTTCTATCGATATGCAAATAATATCGATAGCTGTGTTGGCGGGGTAAGTGAATGACAACAAATGCAGCTGCAAACAAAAACAATAAAGAACGGAATCTGAGGCGTCAACCTGAGTTTAAGGGATTGAATTATGGACAAAGATAAGCAAATTGTTCCCAATCAAATTGGTTATTTGATTCTTAAGGATGATGGCGCAGTGCTGGAATCAGGTGGTGACTTAAAAAACGATGAACGCAGCGCAAATGTTATAATGGGCCTGTTAAATCTAACCGAGAGGCAAGTTGAACTCATCCGAGAGTGGATGGATATCAAACTAATGTAATTTTCTTTCCACGCCTGCAGCATTGATGACAACTTTATAGCTAACAGTAGTTGTGAGCGAATTACCATTGATTACGAGCACCACAGTTACAGCATATGCATGTCGAATCGTCATATTTATATTGTTAAATTTAGTAAAGGTCAAAATGGAGCAACAACCAGCTCGTCGTCGTCTACGAGCGTTTATATTGATGCCAACAATGAGCTGACGACGAATAGTGGCACGGTGCTGGCTTGAAAGGAACAACCACAGAGGCACCTCAGCCCCTGCTGCGGCCTCTGCTGGCAACCAGTAACGAGGAACAACAGCAGCACCACCACCAAATACAATTGGAAAACGCCATTCATTTATCTGTTATTACTTTTTATTTGTCAAAAAATACATCATCTGTGAGCTCCTGTTCAAATATACGCTTTGCCTCCTGTGTCACATCGAGCAGCGTTGTTGCCTTACTTTTGCTGAGGATCACATAATATTGTCGCCAATTGCAACGACGCTTCACAATCCAATAGTCATTCGTTGTCTTCACCTGCAGCTCCTCGGCGGCAGCAATTTCTTGTATGGGATTAGCAAGATCTGCAATGATACTCATTACATTCCGTGGTATGCTCTTTGCATTTCGATGGATATTAGTATGATGCTTGAGGCTTTGCTCGTTGATAAACAAATATTTGGCAGATCCATCGTCATGGTTAGCCGCAGTCGTTGCAGATGCACTCGCATTCAGCTTCGAGGCGGTGGCAATGTCCTTAGCCAGGCAGCTGAGCTGTGGACCCAAATAGGCGTTCAGCTCTTCATAGAACTCCTGCGTAGGAACCGCTATAAAGAAATTTACATTTAGATAAATATTGAAGTAATTATAGAACATTTGTTTACCATCCACAAAAAGACAAAGCGTAACATTCAATGCGCGATATATGAGCAAACAATGCGGCCTAATTTGCTTATCTAAATCCAAGTAGACTTCAGTTGCGATTGGCTTTCCTCCTTCGAGTACAAATGCACCCGAACGAAAGGCATCCTCAGATCCAGATGCTGAAGCTGTTCCCAGGACATACGCATGCAAGCTATACAAGTCGCTGGCAGCCAATTTGCCTCCACAGACAACTTGGTCGTTGTAGAACATCACGCACTCTTTGACCGCTGTGAAGGTATCGCATAGCATGCTAAAGTTATGAGCGCGCAAAAAGAGACTTTTGTCTAGAGCAAGGTACTGAATGGAGTGCAGCATATCCATGATATCACACTGAGCCAGATCCTTGAGTGTAGCCAAATAGCGACCATAGAATTTTTTCAGCTCTGCCGCCAACTGTTGGCGTTGCTCCTCTGCCTCCTCGCTGCCTGGGCTGGATGTTAGCTTCGTTTGGAGTGGACCATGATGAAAGCGATACATATGATAGCATTGCCTTAAGACAGCTTGATATATCCTATCTGAAACTTCGCCCCCTCTATAATCAGCCACCTCGACGCCTTCCTTGAGCTTCACCTCCTTGGGGACATTGAGCACCATCACAAGCCAGAAGCCTGGTTCTGGCTGATAGAAAAGTTGGGTTGTCTTTTGCGTATGCAAAGCCTTACAATCATCCTCGCTGGTAAACGTTCTGGTAGAGGAATATAAACATACATATGTAAGTCTTCCTTCTTGGGCTGTCGCTATGGTAGCCGCTGACTCACCCCGTGAATGTAATGATGGCTTCGCTAAGACCCACATCTTTAATTTTTGTATTTAGTTCAATATCATTTGGATGATAAAACAGAATTTTCTTGTGCTCCTGTTTGATGAAAGCAGTAACATTTTGTAGGCGTCTTTTCCCGGATTGGCTTTACTCACCTCTCCCTCTTTCTGGCTTAGATTGGAATTGAATACATAGAAGCTACGCAGCGTGATTTCCACACGCTGCAATACCTTGGCCATTTCGTCTGCACGTTCACTAACAGATTTCTTTTGTCCGAAATAAACGGGAAGCATTCACTTTTACCGATTGAAATTTATTTGTCTTGCACTTTTTGACAGTCACCACGAAACGTATCCATGTTTTGCAAAACAAATACCAATCGCAGTGAAACGTGAACGTTCCACAAATAAAATAATAAAAACATACATACATACATGAAACATCATTTGATATAAGCACATACCAGATTTTATTCCAATTAAGCAATGTTTAAATTTCATACATATATCCATGACTTAAGACCCGAAGATATGCATTTCTAATGAAATGTTGCAAACTAAGCACATTTTAGTGCATTTTTGTTCCCCACCACATAAATAAAATAAAATACAAAATACAACTTATTGAATATAGTAAATTTATTTTAATTTGTAATCGTTTATGGAATTTGAAGCAAGAATTAAGCCAGAAGAAACAGCAGGCACAGGATATTCGGCTCAGTGCTTGAACTTGTAATTTTGAATTTTTTCTTGCGGTCTAGTGTATTTTGCAGCAATAAAAAAATTGGGAAACTGTGGCTTGATTTTAGTGTTGAATGATTCGTTTGCGCTTTCTTTTATATTCCAATTAAGTTGAGTAGCCACCACGCAGACGTAGAACCAAATGAAGAGTAGACTCCTTCTGAATATTGTAATCGGACAAGGTGCGACCATCTTCCAGTTGCTTGCCGGCGAAGATGAGACGCTGCTGATCTGGTGGAATTCCCTCCTTATCTTGAATCTTGGCCTTGACGTTCTCAATGGTATCGGATGGTTCTACCTCCAGAGTGATGGTCTTGCCAGTCAGGGTCTTCACGAAGATTTGCATACCAC